AGAGGTTATGTTTTCACATAACTTAAGTATCTTACAGTTGGTTGTAATAAACTTTGCCATTCTTAAAAGATTATAAATGCAGCTATAAATTGGACATAAACTTTTTGTGATTTCAGCCTACCTTCTGGGAAATATTATGCTTTTAAATGCAAAATTTATGATTTTTGTGCGTCTTTTTTTCAAAATTTAGACTTTAAAAACTCAGGAAGAACTCAAAAACTCGAAAAAAAAATTTTATCCTGGGTCATTATATTTTTTGTATATATGGGCAGTTCCTATCTGGCGTTACGTTACATTCGTACGACAAAATGTTGCAAAAAATAGTCAAAAAGCTGAAATTTGGAAAAAAGATTATCCTCGTTGAATATAATTTGGTTAGACCTATGTTCTCCAGAAAAATGGCAATAATCGAGCGTACGGTTTTCAAGATATAAGCCAAAGTAGGACCTAAAAGTGCGTTACATAAAACAGAAGTGGTTTTCGAGGTTGGGGTAAAAAATGGCAAAACTCTGCGAATTGGATAGGGCTATCTGTATAAAATTTTTAGTGCTAATAAATGAAGTATTGAGAGTTAATTTTCAAACTTATTAAATGTAAAAACTTTTCCTGTTTTTTTGTTAAAAATCCGCGGAGGCATCTGGCGAACGTTACTGGCGTTACGTTACCAAATTCCGCGATTATAAAAGCCTACAAATATACTGTTAGCCAAGGTTCGACCAACGTTCTGATAATGGTTTTAGGTAGTTTAATATATTAGAAAGACTTTAAGGAGAAACTTTTGTCAAGAATCATCTTCTTCCTAGGAGATAATAGTAAAAGAAAACATGTCTATAAAAATACCAGAAAATACCAAAAACGTGAACTTTTGCTTATTTTCATAGGTTTTAGGATGAAAGCTAATGAAATTATATGTGAATAAAGTAAATTAGTTACCGTTCAATAAATTAAAAAAAAAATATCCGGAAAAAATTATATAGAAATCGGTTTTTATTGACTTTTTATGATTTTTGGCCTGGTGGACCTTTTGGCGGAACTGCCCATATGTAGGTGCATTAATAAGGCATCGTTTAAAGAAATGCAATTCTTGATTACTTGGTATCTAATATTCAATTTTGGTGCATGCTAAATTCAAAAATGTCAAAAAAAGTATTGCTTGGTTGGCCAGCAACGTTCCAAATCGTAAAATGTGATTTTCGGACTTCCAACCAAATTTAGCTCAACCATTTCTCCATGGATTTTTATAAAATATACTTTAAGCGCAGTCATCGTCTATCACTCAACCAGTGCAGACCTCTTTTCAAGCAAGCCCGTGTTTCAGTTTTCTCTTAAACTTCTTATCTTTTTCCTTATGTCTTTTCTTTCATTGTTCACTTTTTTGTGATCTGTGAGGCCCACGCGACTGATCATGCCCATTGGGCAAAATAAACTGGCGGAGAATCGGTTCGCTCTGCTAGCTGATCCCCCAAATCATAATAAACTAAAAACTTTTCATAAGTCAATTGTGGGTTTTCCTGGACTGCCAGCGATACAATTACCAAATCCAAAGTTTATAGTACTCGGTTCAGAAAACGAAATAAAACCGTCAAGTGAGTATACTGTATGGTTAGTGACATTAGGCTGGGCCAAAATTTGACCAACATTTTTTTTTTTCCAAGGGTACACTTGGACACTTTTTTAAATTCAAATTTTTAGTTTAATGTTTGGGGGCTGCTACCACGAAAAGAAAATACAAATTTTTGGGTAAATATACATTAAAAACGAGAAGGAACGTGTGAGTCGCTTCTGGGGACGTGACTCTACTTATAACCGTACGCAGTCAGTATATACATTTTTGAGCTTATGATTTTTTAAAATTAAAAAAAAAATGCTTACATTTTTTTGCTACATCTGTTATCTACATCTACAATGTATATTTTACATACAACATGTAGATTATAGATGTACCATTCATATTCTACATCTCCTCCGCTACATCTTTTACTACATCTGTTATCTACATCTACATCTACAAGGTATATTTTACATCTAACATGTAGATTATAGATGTACCATTCATATTCTACATCTCCTCCGCTAGGTGTTGTTCGCGGGGGGAGGCGGAGGAAGAAACTGAAAATTATTTTCTTCATTTTGGCTATAATTATGATCCGATCTGATTCAGATTCGGCAGTCTGGTAGATATGGTCATTCTCTACGATACTGCGTTTTTAGTTTTTGAAATACACTTGTAGCAGTGTGATTTCACATGAATCTGGAAAGCAAATTTGGTTTCTCTAGCTCTTATAGTCTCTGAGATCCAGGCGCTCAACTAGACGGACGGACGGACAGTCAGACATGGCTTTATCGACTCGGCTATTGATGCTGTAACGAACCATGGTTCCCCATGGTTCGTCACAACTAAGTAAAACCTCTAAGCCTCTTTAAATATCTTTAAATGTATAATCATATAAATAAAAGCCAAGTAAGAATCTCAAATCTCCCTAAAGTTACATTCCTTTCCCACGGTACCGGTGCACACCGATCACCTTACCTGGGACATTGGACCCTTGTTGGGAGGCGATTGCTTAGGTAACCCTCGATTACCGCAGCAGTCTCCGACTCTCCTTACCGGGGATATTGGACACTGACTGCAGGGCTAATGATTTGGTAACCTTCTGTTACCGATCAGCCCGTCTGCACGCGCAGACTATAATTCGGCCAGAGAGATTTATGTAAGAACCCTTCCCACGGTCTGGAGTAGAAATAAGATATCTATAAGACATTCATGGAAGGCCGGCCGATCTATAAAAAGGCAGTCCACCAGCCATCGTCGGAGGCAGTCAATCAGCCATCGCGGGCGTCAGTCAAATCACCATCCGCGTCGTAGTACAGAAGTAGAATATTCATACGGAAGAATACGGAAGAATAAAGAAAACCATTTAAATTAAAAGAACCAAAAAGTGTTGTGATTTCTATTTCAGTTTCTGGCAAAGTTCCTGGTTTCCCGATAAAGTCCTCGTGAATTAGAAATATCTTGTAATTCAGGACCCTGGACAGGATGCATACCTCAGCCTGAAATAGGACATTACAAGTGGCGCCCGAGCAGGGACTTTAAAGGATTTTTCGTGGAAACTTCAAGAAAACCGAAATCAGGGACTTCGTGGATTAAAGACCCACTGCCATCAAAAAGAAAATTGAATCGATAACAAGTCCGCGCACTTACATAATCCGGGCGCGAAAACAAACGCGAAAGTATACGCAGTGCCGATCCTAAAAGTGCCGTTTAACTGTGACTCATTGCCAAATATCAACAGAAATCAACATGGAACATCACGACGATGAACAACCAGAGGAGGCATACCCTGCGGGACACTTTTCCAATCCAGGGGTCAGCACCGGCTGGATCCACAAACTCCGTCGGGACGAACTAGAAGTCCTCGCCGAAGAATTCGGATTCGGCAGCGAAGGAACGGTCGATGAACGCCGAAAGAAATTTGCCGCACTAGTCGCCGGGCCACTCGCGCAAGAAGCCTGGGTTCGCCTAGGAGAGTTCGAGAGGCACTATGCCAAACCAGCCTCACGCTCTCGCTCCAAGTCACCACTGCCCACTACTCCTGGACCATCCGACACTCGCCAAATGGATCCTAAGACCGGATTACGAGTCCCCGCAGCCACCGAATACCGCACTCCTGCAGCCCCGTTTCCAAGGCCCCTAGCTACCGAGACCCACCCAGCACCCGTACCGAGGGTCTTGCCAGCGATCGACCGACCCATGGAAGGGCACCACTACAACCACGCTGCACCAATGGCGGAACGCATCCGAAAGTGGGGAATCCAGTTTGACGGCCAAGATGACCCTCTATCATTCATCGAACTGCTCGAAGAACGCGCGCTCTCGTATGGGGTGGACACAAACCATCTGCCGCGGGCCAAGGCCGAACTTCTCACAGACCGTGCCAGTCGTTGGTTCCGCACCAGCCGCCTACAAAGTTCCTCATGGGAAAATTTCCGCCAAATTCTTAACGTTCTTCTTGCCACCACGGTATTTTGAACAATTGGAAGACCGGATCCGAGCCCGCAAGCAAGTGGCTGGGGAACTGTTCAAAGATTTCCTCATCGAGATACGTCTACTTATGCACCACGCTGGGTACGACACAACCAAGGAGCTAACCAGGATCTACGACAACGCCCTCCCAGCCTACCAGATGTACCTCAGGGAAAGAAGATATGTGCATTGATATTACTTACAAAAAAACTATTAAAAACAAAGAGAATGATTTAAACTTTTTTTTATATATATAGTAAAGGTACATATTAACAAAAAAATAACAATATTATTTTCATAAACTTTAAGAATAACTAAATATTAAATGAATAACTTTCCATTCATATGAAATAAGTATATGTGCATTCTAAATGAAAATTAAAAATACTAATGAAATTATTTTTTTTAAATTTTTATTTTTGCTTATTAATAGTTTATATGCTTTCCCTTTTTAGTGAAAATTTGATTTATCCGGGTGGGCATTGAGGTTGCCAAGTTTTTAGAATTGTAGGGTTAATTTGATCCCATTCCTGTAGCAATGCTTTTTTGAGGTCATTTACCGTATCAAACTGGCGTCCATTCTTATAAATTTTGTTGGATAATATTCTCCAAAGATCCTCTATTGGGTTAAGGTCCGGACTGATCGCTGGCCATTGCAATAAGGGAATCTTCCTAGCTTGCAAAAAGTTTTTTGTTTTCCGTGCCGAGTGGATGGGCGCGTTGTCCTGCTGGAAGATCCACTCATCCCCGTAAAGGTTTCCAGCAAATTCAATGAGTATTGTTTCCAACAACTCTACATACATTTCTGCATTTGTTCTGGTGGGTATAAAACAAAGTGGGGACTTCCCAGCATACCCAAATCCACCCCAAACCATTAATGATCCTCCACCGTGGTTTCGTTTATGGCAGTGCTGCCGTGGTTGCCTTTTGTCGCGCCAATACTTTTGGCAGGAGTCAGGACCGTCCAAGTTAAATTATCCGAAAATATAACTTTAGTGAACTCCTCTGACCAAAATTTGTACTTCTCAGCAAATTCTAGTCGAGCGGTTATGTGGCGCTTCAATAACCTCGGTACAGCGTCGCGGGAAGCATATGTAACCATTTCGGTTTCGTTTAAAATTTGATTTATACGTCTTTTGGATATGTCAAGCTTCAGTTGACCTTTGATCTCCATGCAAGACTTGTTGTTTTGAACGGCTAGACGACGAATTTGCCTCTTGCACCGCGTATCGATTTCAGTGGGTCTGCCGCTTCGCTTTATTTTTCCATACATTTCCGGATTTTTGAGAAAGTTTGCTATTGTGTTTCTATGCCGATTTAGTCTAGCGGCAATATAAGAAGTATTCTTGCCAGATTCGGCCAGCCCTTTGATCAGACCGCGATCTCCCTCCGACAAATGTGTTCCACGTGGCATTCTGCCGTAAAATCAAAATTATAACAAACATTTATGTCTCCAAACGTATAAAAAAAAATTTACTTACATTCTGCTGATTAAATAACTTTTTTGGATCACACTTCTTAGCTTACCCGCACGCGATAGCACAATAATCTAAGCTTGCACATATACTTATTGCCTTTGAAAACCACGAGTTGTTACACATATTATTTAAAACGGTACAAAGAATGAAGCGCAAAGAGGAACATTGGAGTGGGAGATCTTTATAATAGATAAGAGTACAAACTTGCATACCTACAAAAAATATACCGTTACGTTTATAGAAAATATAAGCAAATTAAAAAGTGCACATATACTTCTTTCCCTGAGGTACGTGCGCCGCCACGAACTGCAGGACTTGTCACAGCTAACACTGCTGGCCACAGAGTTTGAGAGTATTCAAGAGCGGACCATCCCGCGCACTCTCGCACCACCACGACACACGCCCAGATACGCACGGCCTTCTACAGATCAGAGGAGCGACGATTCCAATCGGACACCATTCCGGAAGCCTCATTGGGACTCGGCAGACTCACCAAGAAGACAGCCATCCAACCCAGTGAGTACGGCAAAGCCCGAGGTAGCACATCGCATGATCACGACCCCCATCGCCAACCCACGCGCAGCCTGTCGCCGGTGTGGTGAAGCAGGGCATGCGGCATATGAATGCCAAAATCCCTCGATCTTGTTCTGTTGGGAATGTGGCAAGCGCGGCACCCGGACCATCGATTGCTGTCGCCAGAACACGTCAGCCGGGAACGACGTCTGCCCAGACCCACGAATAAAAACCCCGCTACACATGAACGAGAACCGGATAGTGGCAATGGTAACCATAGGAGGACAGCCAACGGAAGCCACCGTCGACACTGGGGCATCCCGAAGCTTTATCAGTGCAAACCTCGCCCGACAACTAGACAAAAACACCAACCTACAAGATGCATGCGTCCGCATACGCCTGGCCGACGGCTCGGTCAGAGTGATCACCCAGATTCTATTGGCGCACATCAGAATGGATCAAAGAGAAGTTCAAATACCCCTCCTGGTCCTACCAAACATGTTGGATCAAGTTATCGTCGGCATGGACTTCCTATGCGCCATTGAAACAACGATCCAGTGCGGTACCACACTTCTGCAATTACGAGATCTGTGCCACACACCACATATCCACACCGTTCCGACCAACAGAGTACAAGGCAACGAACCCCGACACCAGAAACTGAAGCCAACGGCGGCCGTCATACGTCCGCAACCTATCCCAACAATTTCGGCACCCAGCCACGCCAACATGACACCCATACAAACCTCAGCGAACACACGACCACGACCTACCCCAATGAACAAAACGACCCAGATCGCCACGAAGAACACGACACCCAACCCAGCCCCAGCAGAGGCAAAGCGCCGGCCCACGAACATGAAGCCGAAACCAACAACACGAAACAACAATCAAGCAAACGGGAAAACGAGTCCCACGGTCACTACGGAGCAACCGCGTCCTAGGCCAACCACAGGGGACACATACCCCAAAGAAAATACGAGAATCTCACCCACGAGACAAGCACTAACGCACTGGAACCCGGCGCTCGACACAGGAAGGCCAGGTCCAAGTCCAGCAACAGAGCATGTAAGTACCCTCTCCTCCCCGGAGAAAGTGAACATAGAAACACCCTCAGAGACGACAATCAGCCCTGAACCAAGACAACAACATCGACACCGACAACGGCAGCAACAGATCAACAGCCCAGCCACACGGGAAACAGCCACGCTGACCCCACCCTGGTCGGGGCCCATAATTGAACTGATATCCACAGAGCCCCTCAACGCGGGCCCGGAAACCAGTACGATGACCCCACGATACACCGACCGCAGCCCTGTCGTACCCACGGCCGACGCCACACCGATCCTCGCCCACACAATGGAGTACCTTCCGCGTACTGACATGATTTTTAGCGTCATGCACCGAGCCATGCCTAGAGCCATGTCCGAGATCTTCGTCGCCCATACAAGTCGTTGTTGTGATACCAGAGGCGTCATCGCGACTCACCTGTTCACGTACCAGTCTGGCTGTAGTATAACACGAGTACTACACCCGGCGTACCAAAACATCATTCCCATGGTCGACACCACACCCATCGTTGCCCACATAAACGACTACCAACGGAGGATCGAACCGCCCAGCGCCTTCGATACAACCCTCTTACCCGAAGACCCCCGCCAACCACTTGACTCCGAAGCCGCCGACCCAACAGAACATGAGCCTGAACCAGTCCCGGAGCCGTGGCCGCCAGACTTAGCCCCGCAGATCCAAGCATTTCTAGACGAGGAGCTACCAAAATTTGATGGCCTCCACGGGACGTCGGACATCGCCAAGCACACTATTGTCATGAGGGATAACCGGCCCATAAAACAGCGGTACTATCCTAAGAACCCAGCAATGATGCGAATAATTGATGAACAAGTGGACCAATTGATTTCGGAAGGCCTCATCGAGCCCTCCCGGAGCCCCCACAGCGCCCCAATTGTACTCGTCCGTAAAAAGAATGGGAAATGGCGCATGTGCGTCGACTACCGGCAACTCAACACGCATTCCATCCCCGAGGCATACCCGCTGCCGAGGATCAACTATATTCTGGAACGGTTACAAAACGCGCGGTTCATCACCACCCTCGACCTGAAAAACGGATACTGGCAGATCCCCATGGCCGACGGAAGTAGAGAAGCAACAGCTTTCACCGTACCGGGCCGGGGCCTCTACCAATGGAAGGTTATGCCCTTTGGACTGCACTCGGCACCGGCAACATTTCAGCGGGCTCTCGACACCGTGATTGGTACAGACATGGAGCCATATGCATTCGCATACCTAGATGACATTGTCATCGTGGGGCGAGATTTGAACGAACATCTACGCAACTTGAAAGTGGTTTTGTCCCAACTCCGGAAAGCGAACCTAAGGATAAATGCGGAAAAATGCGCGTTCTTTCAAACCCAAATCAAGTATCTCGGCCATATGATCAGCAATGAGGGAATCCACACCGACCCCGACAAAATTGCCGCCGTCAAAGAACTCCGGCCGCCCACCAACCTAAAAGAGCTTCGTCAATGCATCGGGATGGCGTCCTGGTACCGAAGATTTGTACCAAACTTCGCGACGGTCGTCCAACCGATGTCTCGCCTACTCAAGAAGGACCAACCATGGGTATGGTCCGAAGCACAACAGGCTGCTTTTGACCTACTGAAGGCACTTCTCACGACCGCCCCCGTCCTTGCGTGCCCCGATTTCAACGTCAAGTTCTCGCTGCAAACAGATGCGAGCAATCTAGGAGTTGGCGCAGTTCTCACCCAAGAAATCGAAGGCAAAGAACGAGTCATAGCATATGTCAGCCGAAGACTGAACCAGGCGGAAGAAAACTACTCCGCTACCGACAAGGAGTGCCTGGCGGTCATTTGGGCCATTCGAAAACTACGCTGATACCTGGAAGGTTACCGCTTCGATGTAATCACCGATCATCTCGCGGTAAAATGGCTAAATACGCTTGACAGCCCATACGGTAGAGTGGCGAGATGGGCCCTCGAACTTCAGCAATACCAATATGACGTGCATTATCGTGCGGGCAAACAGAAAGTAGTTGCAGATGCACTATCCAGGCAGCCATTAGGAACACTCACACGGATCGAAGAGGAGAAGACAGTCTGCCCCTGGCTCCAGCGCAGTATAAAACAAGTCCAGGACGAGCCTCAAAAATACCCCGACTACACCTACGCCAAGGGGAACTATATCGACATCTGGGCCATGGCACCGACGACGACGACCATATAGCATGGAAACTCTGCGTAGCAAAAGATCAACGAGCCAGAATACTTCACGAATGCCACGACCAACCCACAGCCGGCCACCTAGGGGTCAGGAAAACCATCACCCGAATATCCCAACGGCCAGGTTTCTACCGAGACGTGAGGAAATATGTCCGTGGCTGCGTAAGCTGCCAGAAGTTCAAAGCTCAACAACGCAAGCCGGTGGGCCAGATGCTCACTCGCAAAGCCGAAGAGCCATTCGCTACACTATGCGCTGACTTCGTTGGACCACTACCTCGATCAAAGAAAGGAAACACGATGCTGCTCGTCTTCTTTGACACTTTCACGAAATGGGTCGAATTGGTACCACTCAAAAAGGCCACCACCGCTACCCTGGAACTGGCTTTCCGAGAACGAATCCTGAGCCATTTCGGCATACCCAAACGCTTTGTGTGCGACAACGGCACGCAATTCACAAGTCGATCGTTTCGGTCATTTCTACAGACAGCAGGAGTAGAACTGCAACATACCGCACCATACTGCCCCCAGGAAAATCCAACGGAACGGGCAAATTGGACGGTCAAGACCATGATTGCCCAATTCGTAGGGGATCGTCAAAATACCTGGGATGAGCTACTACCGGAAATATCCCTCGCAATAAATTCCAGCGTCTCGGAGACAACGGGATTTATCCCAGCTTTCCTACTGCATGGAAGAGAGCCCCGTTTGCCTGGAGCCCTCTATGACGAAGTCACGGCAGGCACCGGAAGCCCCCCCGAGACCGCTCTCGGCAAGGCAACCAAACTCAGCGAAGTATTCACCATTGTCAGAAATAACATCCAGAGGGCAAGCCAAGAACAAGGAAGGCATTACAACCTCCGCCGCCGGCAATGGCGCCCCACTATTGGATCCCTAGTACTTCTACGACAACACCACCTCTCCAACGCGGCCGACGGATTCGCCGCTAAGCTGGCACCGAAATACGATGGACCCTACCGAGTCAAAGGTTTTGCATCACCGAACATTGTAAAACTACAGCATCCGGGCAGCCGAAAAGCGAAGGTTGCTAACATCAACGACCTGAAGGAATTCCACGAGGACAGGGATGCCACCGACGAGGCAAATACTACCACTAGCCCCCCGCAATCCCCCTAGCCCCGACTTTGGTTTCCATATATTGGCAGCTGACCAGCCAAAGCCAACGAACCTAAAGACGAGAACGCAGCACACGCGCAGCCAATGACCAAAAACCCGCGGGCTCAGAAGACGTAACCAACCGCCACTACAACGGAAGTAACGAACGCTCTCAAATGACGAGTTCAACACCCAAAGAAATGAAAACTCAGCACATGCGCCACCAAAATCCCCAGCAAGAGACAAGACAAAGAAAAATAAATATCAACCTCAGCACACGCGCGGCCGACAGACAGAAAAACCCGAGGACTCAGCACACGTGACATCGAACGGCGATCACCCCCCGCAGCGAAACATCACCAATAACCTGGAAAAGTGTCGCTCAACCCGCTAAGACGAAACCTGAGCCCTGTTCGAAGAAAAGCGGCTACGTACGGCCGCAACGGCCCTATCAAGAAAGGGAAAACGCTATATATAGCTGAGTTCTCCAGTTAATAAATCAGTTCGAGTGATTTGAGTGAAAGTTATTATTCGAGACACCCACCACTAAATTCAACGCGCCCTACAACACCACCTCCTACCGGAAGAAAGGGGAGTGCCGAGTCTCCGGATTCGTCGCTGTGAGTCTCGTCACTTTAGCGTGGCGTCGGTTACGTTATATTTTCTACTGCTCGGCACAAGCCAAAGGACAGGATAACCCGGAAAAAGGCGAACCTTAGCACCCGCCAAGCGACGCCACAAATCTCTCCATCACCCACCCGGAAGAAAGGGGGGGGTGTAACGAACATTGGTTCCCATGGTTCGTCACAAGCAGATGACGCAGCCAACGCTACTCCCAGGTGAAGCGATCAACACCACTTGTAATGTCCTATTTCAGGCTGAGGTATGCATCAGCCTGTCCAGGGTCCTGAATTACAAGATATTTCTAATTCACGAGGACTTTATCGGGAAACCAGGAACTTTGCCAGAAACTGAAATAGAAATCACAACACTTTTTGGTTCTTTTAATTTAAATGGTTTTCTTTATTCTTCCGTATTCTTCCGTATGATTATTCTACCCGGTTATGTTATGTTTACTTGTACTACGACGCGGATGGTGATTTGACTGACGCCCGCGATGGCTGATTGACTGCCTCCGACGATGGCTGGTGGACTGCCTTTTTATAGATCGGCCGGCCTTCCATGAATGTCTTATAGATATCTTATTTCTACTCCAGACCGTGGGAAGGGTTCTTACATAAATCTCTCTGGCCGAATTATAGTCTGCGCGTGCAGACGGGCTGATCGGTAACAGACGGTTACCAAATCATTAGCCCTGCAGTCAGTGTCCAATATCCCCGGTAAGGAGAGTCGGAGACTGCTGACTGGCTCGCGCATGTGGGGGTTTTGCCCGGTAATCGAGGGTTACCTAAGCAATCGCCTCCCAACAAGGGTCCAATGTCCCAGGTAAGGTGATCGGTGTGCACCGGTACCGTGGGAAAGGAATGTAACTTTAGGGAGATTTGAGATTCTTACTTGGCTTTTATTTATATGATTATACATTTAAAGATATTTAAAGAGGTTTAGAGGTTTTACTTAGTTGTGACGAACCATGGGGAACCATGGTTCGTTACAATGCTGATCAAGAATATAAATTACACACATCCACTTTTACCACAAATCTAATGTACCCCTTAACTTTCTTTTGAGTACGGGTATAAAAAATTAAATTCGTCGGTTTTTTCAAATAATAATGAAACTTAGAAACTCGTTTCTATTGATAAGGTATTTATTTATTTATTTTTAGTTACTGTTAAAAAACGAACGATTGGTGAAAATCAACAAGTCCAGCTGAGGTTTATATATTTAGTTAACTAGTTCGCAAAAACTTGTGTGGGTTTTTAACTGCCAATAACTGATTAACGACGATATGAATGTTATCAATATATATATGCAATAGATTTCACCAATTATCCAACTCATTCAGCAAAAACCCTGCTAGAACCCCTGCAGTGAGATTGGTAACACTAGTCAACACTAGAATTAGGCTGTGGCCCAAAATTTAGATTCTTATAGATTTCGGGGCTTAACATTTTTTAACGAAATATGGTTCTTTTTGTATGGTGTAGTTTTTTTTTAAAGAATTTTTTAAAATCTGGTATTTTTTGTTTTGTTTTTTTTTCAGAGCTAGTGCTTCTATTATCTAAAACTAAAAATGCATGCCAAGAATTATTTTTTTTCGACTTTTCCCGAGTTTTTAAAGTAAAAATTTTGGGAAAAATACTGCAAAAAAATGATGAAATTGGAATTTGAAAGCTGAATATCTTCCAGGCGTTAAGCTGCAAATACAAAGTGTCTGGGTATGATTTATAGTTGCACTCGGCACCTTTTTAGAACTGCAAAGTTCTATGCAACCAGATGTAAGATACTTAAGTTATGTGAAAAAAAGCATTAATTTCAGGTAAAATTATTTTTGAGTTTTTTTGGTCAAATGGGTCCAAATTGTCCGTTTATCCATAGATTCTAATGAGCAATACCTTAAACGACGCCCATTTAATGCGTCTATCGAAAACCAAAAATGTTGGCGAAGAATTATTTTTTTTCCGACTTTTCCCGAGTTTTTAAAATCAAAATTTCGAAAAATAATACCGCAAAAATTGATGAAATTTGAATTTGAAAGCTTAATATCTTCCAGGCGTTAAGCTGCAGATACAAAAGGTCTGGGTCGGATTTATAGCTGCTGTTTTGTAGGAGGGTGGATGTTGGTCGTTCCTACAGTTCGGATTCCCAAATAAATAAAAAGGCGGGGGCGTCAACTATAATTCTGGTGTATTTGGCGTGCACAAAGCTGAGGGCTGGTTGTAGATAGGCGCGTAGGTGTCGAGAGATTGTTCTCTCCCGCTCGGCCTACGGCTAGCGCCCGTGATGGAGCGCCGAGTGGATCGCGTCCACGCCGCGCGAGAGCGAAGGGCATGGGAGAGCGCGCGAGCTAACAGAGCGCTGTTAACCGCGCTGCTACCCTAAACATCCTCCCCCCTGCAACATCACCTCCTATGGCTGCGTACAGGCCCCGGATACAATCCATCCGAAAACGGTGCTTTGGGAAGCTGGAAGGGCTGGAAGGCCGTCTCCTCGAGCAAGGAACCCGGGTTGGATCACCTTCTGGTAGACATCCGCTCAAAATACTAGAGAGACGGTGGCCGGGCGATGGAAATGCTCATTGGCAAGGCTGATGTCGTTGAACCTGATCCGAGTCGCCTCGCTCAAGGGTCGCAGCGGCGTGCGGACGCGTAAGCGGGGCGCCAGTTTGAGGACCACGTCCGATTGGACATCGCCGGTCCTGGCGCGGATAATAGCCGTGGCCACCTTCTCCGCTCCGATGCGCGTGCTGGGCAACTTTAAGTCGGTGGCCAAGGAAGCGTCAATGCAGCTCACAGGCGTGCATGGGTCGATGAGCGCCGTTGTCTCGTGGGTTTTCGTTCCCGTGTCCAAGACCACTCGGGCTGTCGGGAGGCAGTTGGTGCTTCGGTGCTGGAGCAGCGTATCGACCGATGGAGCCGGATGACCCACGATGGGTCGGCGATCGGCTCGGGACACTGGAGCTGGAGACGAACCTGGAGTCACGGCTGACGACTCCGAGCGGGCTGGGCGCTGAGAGGACCACGTCTTTGGGCGTCTTTCCGGAGAACGAGGCCGGCGATCGGCTCGGGACACCGAAGCTGGAGACGGAGCTGGAGACGGAGCTGGAGACGAAGCTGGCGACTCCGAGCGGGCTGGGCGCTGGGACGGTCGCATGTGGAGCAGCGTGTCATGGTCCTTGTGGCACACCTTGCACCGGCCACCACTTCGGCAATCCTTGCCAGAGTGCTGATGAGCCAGGCAGTTTCGGCAGTATTTGTTTACCAGCACGGCTCGGAGCCTCTTCGCCACGCTCAGCTTGAGGAAGCTACGGCAGTCTCGTAGTGGATGGCTTCCGGAGCAGACTCGGCAGCGGTAGGTAGCTTGTACTCGGGAGCGTCTGCTCCCTGAGGTGTGATTGACACGGGGTTGTGGAGCCATCAGGATCTGGATGCAAAATGAACTGGTTCGGAAAAGAAGAATCGGAGAAGCATTAGTAACGTGCTAGGAACAGGTGACAGGCACTTCTCTAAGTACTGTTGGAAGAACAAACGAGGGTTTTTTGGAGGCGAAAAGAAACTTGGATAGAATAGTAGACACGGAGAGGCATTACTAAACGGGCTAGGCACAGGACGCCTTCCGTTATTGTTGTACGGGACGAGGGAGTTCCCCCGGAAGGAGAACGACTTTTGCGACCGGGCGTTTGAGCACACCGCGGGCAGTAAGAATGTCTACCACCCGAACCCTGTTATCGGCGCCGGGATACACGGACTGTACTCTTCCGAGTCGCCAGTCGTTAGAAGGCAGGTTATCTTCTTTCACGATAACCATATCGCCGATCTGAAGATTGGGCATATCCGTCTGCCACTTGTTGCGCTTGTGGAGTTCCATGAGGTACTCATCCTTCCACCTCTGGCAGAACTGCTGGTTGAGGGCCTTCAAATGCTGCCACCGATTAATGATCGACTGGAGGTTCTCTTTAATTTCGGGCTCTGCGGTCGCCATTAACGGTCCTCCGATAAGGAAGTGCCCTGGATTGAGGGCCAGCAACTCTGTCGGACTTTCGGACATAGGTGAGAGTGGCCTGGAATTTAGGCATGCTTCAATCTTAGCGAGCAGCGTCGAGAGCAGCGTCCTCAAAGGTATATTTCCGGGTGGACGTGGCCCCCCATATGTGGAGCTCCTGGCGGGATGAAACGCCATGCAACCCGTTGATGGCTGTATGCCTCAGTCACCGAATCCTGGAACGCCTCTAGAAAGTCCCGAGAAAGTACAGTTGCTGCTCCCACGAAAGTTTTTCCATTGTCGGAATGGATACGCTGCGGACAACCTCGTCTAGCGACGAAGCGAGCGAAAGCTGCTAGAAACTTCTCGGTGGTCAGGTCGGAAGTAGCCTCCAAGTGAATGGCCTTCGTGGAAAAACATACAAATACGCACACATAACCCTTGGTGATCAGGCACGCTCTCCCGGTATAGTTCCTTATGTCGAAAGGACCTGCATAGTCAATACCGGTATGGGTAAACGGTCTGGAGAAAGAAGTTCGGTCTGTCGGGAGATCACCCATCAGTTCGGTCTGTAGCTTCTTCTTGTGGATGATGCAGACCTTGCAGGAGTTCACCACGCCCTTCATCAGGTTCCGGATTCTCGGGATCCAATATTTGCAGCGAATGAGGCGCGTCATCAGTTGATTGCCGCCATGGAGAGTGATCCTGTGCGTCAAGTGAGCGAGCAGGCGAGACAGGCGGCAACTATAGGACAGGATGATTGGATGGCGCTCATCATACTTCAGATCTTGTGAAGCTGTGATCCGGCCACAGGCTCTCATGATCCCCTGTCGGTCTAGAAAGGGGTTCAGATTCAAAATAGAGCTTGAACTTGGCACGGGACGTTTACCACTCAGGTAGTGAGATTCTTGGGGGAAGTCCCGGCGCTGAGCCTCTAGGATAAGAGTTCGCTCCGCTTCGTTAATTTCCCCACTAGTGAGGTGGTCCCTACATGCGAGTGTTACTTTCCGGCAACACTGAATAAAACGTAGAACATATGCCCGCACTCGAAGAGCCTTCTCAAGCTGGGAGAATCGCTCCAGGAAATCTTCGGGTGGGCTGGAAACGAGATGGACCTTCACGGCCCGCTGCTCTAGGGTTTGAACTGGAGTTTCGGCGGCTTGGGCTGGCCATTGATAACGTGGAGATTGCAACCACGCTGGTCCATGCCACCAGAGTTGGCTACCCACCAGTTCTGGTAAAGCTACGCCTCGACTGGCTAAGTCAGCGGGGTTATGTTCGGAACGAACATGAGCCCAATGACTGGTTTCGGTAGTCTGAGCTATTTTCGTCACTCGATTGGCCACAAAGGTAGTCCAATGGCAAGCGGGCTTGCTCAACCAGGCCAGTACAATAGTAGAATCGGTCCAGTAGTAGCATTGATGACTTCCCGTCGGCATGCTTGGCAGGATAGCCGTCGCCATTTCGGAAAGGAGCACTGCACCGCACAGCTCTAGTCGAGGAAGCGAAACGGTTTTCACGGGAGCGACTCGTGTTTTCGCCGACAGTAGATGCACCGTGATATGCTGGTCACACTCGACGCGCACGTAGAGCGCTGCACCGTACGCCTTTTCGGAGGCATCGCAGAAACCGTGATGTTCGATCTTTACCGATGGCTGGTAACATACCCATCTTGAAATCTTGATCTCGGGTAGTGATGCGTAACTTTGCAGAAAGTCCAGCCAGCGTTGGTACAACGAACTTGGAAGAGGTTCGTCCCATCCCAAATCTTGCAACCAGATCTCCTGCATAAAAATCTTGGACCGGACGATGAATGGGGCTAGCCACCCCGCGGGGTCAAACAGCTTCGCAATTTGGGAAAGAACTTCTCGCTTGGTGTGGGATAACTCAAGCGTGAACACGGGAGAAACAAAGAAGAACTCGTCTGACGCCGCCTTCCAGCGAATTCCGAGGGTCTTTGCCGTGCTCTCGGCATCGATTTCCAGAAAATCGGTGTGCAGGAGGTGGTCACTCGGAAGCTCGTCCAAAATCTCCTTGTGGTTGGACGTCCATTTGCGCAGTGGAAAACCTGCAGAGCTGAGGGCGGCCTGCAATTCGTGGATAGCCAGCTGAGCCTCCTTGATGGAGTCTGCCCCGGCTAGGACGTCGTCGACGTACATGAAATGCCGTACAATGTGGCTTGCCTTTGGAAATCGCGACTGGATGTCGTCGGCAAGCTGTTGCAGTACCCGGATGGCTAGAAACGGAGAGCAATTGACACCAAAGGTCACGATTTTCAGCTCATAATCCCGAATCTCACCCTCCTGGTTTCGAAATAATATTCGCTGGAAGGGTGTGCACGTTGGATGTACCCAAATTTGGCGGTACATCTTTGTAATGTCGGCGTTGAAGACGTATCGGAAGTAGCGCCACTTCAGGATTTGGAGGGTTAAATCGGATTGGAGGACCGGACCAGCATGAAGAAGATCATTTAAGCTCGTGCCGTTCGCAGAAGGGCTGGACGCGTTGAATACCACGCGGACTTTCGTGGTAGTGCTCTCCGGCTTGATTACCGCATGGTGCGGAAGATAATAATTGGCGGACTCGTTAGTGGACGGAACCTCTGTCATATGATCGAGATCTAAGTATTCCTGGATCACAGAGTTATACTGTTCTTGAAATGGAACGTTTCTCTTTAGCCGATTCTCATTTCGGAGAAACTGAGCTAGGGCAATGGACCTTGAATGCCCCAGGCCCGATCCACAATGATCGGGGTCACGAAACGGCAGTGTTACCACGTACTTTCCACTTGACGTTCTTGACGTGGTTCGCAGAAAATTTCTTTCGCAATAGGAGTCCGACTCTCCTGCTACCTTGATAGGTAGATCCTCCACCTCCCAAAACTTTGTGAGAAGTTTGTCCAATGGAGCATCGCGGACGTGGGAAATTTGGGTGGAGAAAGATGCAATCTGGTCTGGAACAGCACTTGGCACTGGACCGGTAAGCACCCATCCAAAGATGGTTTGCTGTCCGAGGAGGGAACCACAGATGTCGGTCTGTGAGCCGCTTAACAGTATGGACAGAAGGATGTGGGCTCCGATCAGAACGTCTATGTGTGAGCTCTCATAAAATTTAGGGTCTGCTAAAGGCAGGTTCGGCAAGTCTCGCAACGCGCTCTGCGGGATCGGATATGAAGGGAGATTGCCGGCTATGTCGGGCAGGACGTAGGCCGTGGCGTTTAACTGTACGCTCGGCGTCATCAGGGAGCGAATGGACAAATCACAGAGCTTCTTGGATTGAGCTGCTACAGTCTGATTTAGGCCTGAAACCTGGGCCTGAATAAGGCGGAATGGCAACTGGAGGATATTAAAGAGACGTTCCGTAATGAACGTCGCCTCGGAGCCCGAGTCGATCAGAGCGCGGGCACGGAAATTTGTCCCCCGGTGGCAGATGTTGATTATTGCCGTACCGAGAAGCACCGCTCTTGTTCCCGAAGCAAAATAGTTCTGAACGTTGGGCGGAGCGACGGAAGAAGCGGGATCCTCCGCTGTTGTGGAAGTCAGCTCGCTGGGAGCTGGAGTCCCCCGATGCAGGAGCGTGTGGTGGCGGGCTCCACAAGTGAAGCAACTGTGGGCGCTTTGGCATTCACGGAGCTGATGACCTCTAGCGAAACAGTTCAAGCACAGCTGCCTTTTTTTAATGCAGCTGGCTCGTGCATCCACAGTCATTTGTAGGAAGTGCGGACACAGTCGGATCGGATGGTTCTCTTTGGAACAGAGATCACACGTTCTTCTCTTCGGACTCACTTGTGTCTGGAAGGAGTGAAACTTCCTTGGCACGGGACTACCATGAGACCGGAACGGATTGGAGTTGCTTCCGGAGGATTGCGGATTCAAGGAACCTTTGGACGATGGTGGGGTCGGATTGCCTTTGGAAGTGGACGGGTCGCTCTCCATGGCCTCTAGCGTCAAATAGCGCTGAGTGAGGAAGGCATCGATTTCCGTCCATGGAGGCACCTCCTTCTTGTCTGTGACAGACGCTTCCCACAAAGACCGGGTCAACTTCGGCAACTTGGAGGCACAAATAGTAACGAGGAGGCTATCCCAGTTGTCGGTGCAGACCTTGGATTGAGCAAGGGCGGTGAGGACCCCTTGCATCGTGCTTTGAAGCTCTTTTAAAGCTCCACTGGTCTCGGACTCGACGCGAGGCAAAAAGAGCAAAATATTTATCTGGTTGGTCACCAGGAGCCGATTATTTTCATAACGGTTTCGGAGGGCCGACCATGCCGACTCGAAACCATCGTTTGTGAGCGGGGACTTCTCGACTATGGCCTTCGGATCGCCACTTGTCTTCGCGGTGAGATGGTACAACTTCTCTACCGGAGACAGCCTAGAATTATTTATGTAAATTGCAGTAAAAAAATCTCGAAAAGTAGGCCAACGTAATCTCCTGCGAAGACCTCGATGTCGCAGGGAGGCAGTCGGCAGCCGCCCTGGTAGGTTTGCGGTGCAGACGGATGGACTGCTGTTTGGGCCAGCTGAGCATTGAGGTCGGCGAGGCACTGCTCAAATACCCCATAGCACTCGCCGTACTTCTCTCGGATGTCTTCTTGGACCCTTGGGTCCTCGTCAACCATCACTGCGGAGCAAGCTTTATATTCCGCCTCGACATCCGCCCACATACTCAGAATTTGTCCTCGGCGAACCTCGGCAAGAGATGCGGATGGAGCGGAAGTGATGCGCGCTTCCAAATGAGACAGCCGGCCAATGGCGGCGGCTAATTTTGCTCGTGCAGTAGTGGTGGCGGGTTGAGCCATTGTGATGGAAGGTCTCGAGCTGACGGGACTATTACCGAAGGAGCTGGTTGGATCGCCTTGGATCCGAGCTGGCACCTTGAGAGTGACGGGAGACGGGAAGAGAACCGACTTGGTCCTCGCAGCTGGGCTGCTACTGGCTGCTCTGGGAGTGACTGGCGACTTGATCTTTTGAGTGGGGGTAGTTCCTGAGGCGGAAGAGGTGCGTAGCCGACGTGGAGATGTCGCAGCCAAGAACCCTTTGCTATCCTTGTCCCCCGTTGGCATACTACTCGCACACGCAGAGGTAGGATGCGAAGTCGGATGCGGAATCCGCGGATTGGCGAAAGAACAGAAAAAAAAACTAAGGCTGGGCTGGGCACCACACGAGAAGGCACTAAATCCCTTCAACACACAAAAAAGAACCCACTGCTGGAGGAATGGAAAGGAAAGGGCCTCGCGCGATGTTGGACAACAATTTTTAATACCAACTCGAATTATTTGTGGCCGCTCTGGATCGAGGTTCCCAAACAATGAGTGGATCAAATTGATACACGCCGAGGAGAGGAACGGTCACACTGGCTGTGGCAATATTTGAAAAAAAAATATTGTTAGTGCGGCTTTCCTCCGTTTACCCTTTTGACGGACCCTTGCAGTGGGCAACTAATCTTCCTTCTCTAGTGCGGATGGATTGTGGACGGAATTGGTCGATTTCTTGCTCCCCTTGTTATACCGTGGAGGTGGTAGGGCCGATAGGATACACGAGCACGAGGATCGGAGCCAAGAAATTAACTGCTACTGGTGTGGCGGAGACTATCGGAAGGAATATGCAAAAAAAAAAAATAATAATAATTCCTTATACAGTCGTCTGTTAGTGGAAGCGGAACAAACGTGGGACTATGTATTTTGGGTAATTCGGCAGCTTGAATTTATTTCTTGTCTTCAATTTGGTGTTTGTGATTTTTCTTAAATTTTGTCACCTCTAATTTCCCACGGACATACAATTCGACAATTGGCACAAAAAAAAATGCGAAATCGCGGCGGAAATGCGCTGTGCCTGGGTGGAGGATAATTTGTTACGGAATTGGAGATAATATCACGTATTGTGGCGACCAAAGTTATTGCTGGAACGCGTAAACTGCTCGGAATCGCAGATTTTTATTGTTAAATGTATGTGGATATGAGCGGAATGTATGTGTGGGACGCGGTATTTAAATACGGAGTGTGGTATTTTTGTATGTGCGTTATGTTATTTTTATATACATATGTATGGCTCCATCGATATAGATATAGATCGATCTATTGCAGCCAACTATGGAAATAATATGTGTATATAGATGTCGGAATAAAAACACTTAATAATTGTTGAGTGGGTTTTTATTCTGTTAGCACTTGGATGTATGTATGTATGTGTATGTATTTATGGATGTATATATATATTTGTATGTTATTTTGGAGATGCGGAGCCGCTCTTGCGAATTGGAATGTACATATGTTTTAGTGAACTGGGGTGCAGTTGGATTTTGTCGAATATATTTAATTTTTCACAAATAATGCCCAGACAAAACGAAATGGAAGAACTACCGTAGCACTGGTAGTTGGAGGCGACGGAACGGAAAACGGCCGGAATCGCCGATAATATGGCGTTGGCGAAGGAGAAGGAAGCACTGTATGCACAGATATGTATAAGTTACCTCCCCCCGCCTGGGTTCGGCGGGTAGTTGCCCGCGGGCTGGAGGGCGACATTACGTCTCGCCGACCAACTGGGTCCGCCGGGCGCTGGGCGCGACTGGAGCCGCGCTCGCGCGCGCTGCCCGGCTGGGGGGACATGCTAATTATACTTTGACTTTAGTGACCACTGACCGGCAGTTGGCCGGAATAAAAACTAAAACTATCCGTCCTGCGTGGCTAAGCCCGGCTTAAGTAACGGGAATATTGATAATTATGCGCCCAACGGGTCAAACTAAGTCGAGTTAACGCGGTGCAACCCGTAAACCAAAAGTTAAAAGCAAGAAAAAGCATAAAAAGGGAAAAATCCCGTGAAACTCGAAAAAGAAATAAAACGAAAAGTGTAAAAACAAATTCCGAAAAAATCCCCACACACTAAATGGAAAATTAACTAAATAATACAACACAAACGAGTGAGAAATGGAGAAAAATCCCGTGAAAAATTCCTCAAAATAAAAAGAAATAAAACAGAAAGTGTAAAAACATCAAGACCCCATACACTAAAGAGAAAATTAACTAAAAATACAACACAAACGAGTGAGAACGTCCATGCACACCCAATGAAAACAAAAACTAAAACAGGAAAGAGCTGAAGGGCACCCCGCTCCAATGAAGTAGCTTGCAACCGAAACAAGTCAAAAGAGCTGAAGGGTACCCTCGCTCCCACGGAGTCTACAAGGAAAAATAGGCTGAAGGGCCCTCCCTCGCCTGGAAGAAAATATAATAACAACTACACGGCTGTAGGGTCCCCGCCCACGTTACGGATCCAAAACGCTCAACCGGTGCATAGTTAAGCTAACCAATCTAATCGCCAGGAATATAGGCTGAACAATGATGTAAGTGAATTGTTGGTTTTAAATGTTCTATGTAGCCAACCTAAATCTGAAAATAAGGTCATTGCGTAAATTTACTAGACAAGCCAAAAAAACAAAAAAAAAAACAAGAAAAGAAAATAAAGTAAAATAAGAAGTGAAACTCGATTATTTAACGGTTGTAAAAACCAGCAAATCCCCCGAGTTTATGCTAGGGAGCGCGTGTCTAATACAGACGCTACCCGTTTGCACCATATGAGTGATGGGAAAGTGCCGACGATAGTGACGTAGTCTGAAACCTGATCGAAGGCCCAAGCGGCAGCTTGACAAACGTACGCCAAAGACCCCCAACGTCTGGATCCCCCAGCCGTCGGGCCGCCCAGCCAGGCCCGCTGAGGCTAAATACTACAATGCGCCCATACAGTTACAGCGGCCGCGCCTGTCGCCGCCGGTGAGTTCGGAAATAGTTCTCAGGCGGAGCAAACTCCAGCCAGCAAGGCCTAAAGCCCCCGCTGGCCCAGCCCAAGCGCTGGCAGCGGGACCGCGGCGTCGCGCAATACGCCAGGGCCATGGAGGGAAAGCCAATGTTAGTGGCGCAACCCCAGGCGCCCGCTGGCAAGCAACATGGGCCCAGCCCCCTCTTACCCCAAACCACTGTCAACCACCCACGTGGTGATACCCCCAGGCCGTAAGGCAAACCATGCAGTGTGAAGAAAAGAAGTGCGCGCCCAACGGGTCCCCCTATCCGTCGTGGCCCCATCGCCGGTGGTGGAACCAATTCAGCCCCCGGGTGAGCTGATTTGGATCCGAGGTTAAGCCCCTGAAAGCACTCATACAAAAGCCCCATAACACCCTATTGGGTGGAAAAGCCGATGAATGGCATGGAGAACGTCTGAAGAGCTCGCTGGCGATCCCCCTCCAATGTCGGCATTGGGTACTAAATTTCCGCAAACGGTCCCCAACGGCGGCGCTGGGAAAACCCTCCGTGGGAGTGGCCGCCCCCGGTGCCCCGGGCATGGTTGCCGACGGCAAACCTCGGTCGTGCGTAACGGCGACCAGTTAAACCCGACTGGGTACTGAAAACCTAGAGCCAACTGGGGCTGGTCGCTAAACGACGTACGGATAGTACCGCGAGGACAGCGGCCCGGGTGAGCTCCGATCTGCCCCGCCGGGCCTGCCGCCTACGTGGTGAAGCCCTCGCCCCCCCTATCCGACCGAGGGAATGGTGATTAGTAAATATAAATCTAAAAAAACCCCACGTCGCGCCCCAAAACTAAGGGCCCGAAACGTAGCTATCCGCTCACCCCCCTCCCGGGCGATGCCGGCCCTTACGTGGTCCGACCTAAGCGGAGCTCAACTACGCCTAACGGCGGGAGCTGTAGCATGGGGCCGGGACCCTTAAGGCTGGGCAAGTGTTCACTGCCACCAGCCACTCACGTTCGCGGTGTCGGAGGGAAATCCTAACGCAAAGTTAAGCGTGGAAGGCACGCGTGAGTGGGCCCGGCTTATAGCCGGGAGACCGCGCGACGCTGTGCAACGCGCGCTAGCCGGCGCCCGCGGTCAGCGCAGCGCATCACGTGGGTCATGCTTACACGATAGAATCATCAGCAAGCCCGCAATGTGACCAGTCTTTAGGGGGCCCCCCCTCAAACAACGCGGAAAAACCCCGTAATACTCCTGTGGCCCTCGCTGAGTGTCGTCAGTGGTGACCCAGTGGTACTCCGTTCACCTAGCTGTACACATGGGGGCCGCGACAAGTGGCTGAGTCCCGCTGTTCGATGAAAACGAAAAAATCCCGCAGACCTCGGGCCCCGGCGGCCCAGGAAACGTAAACGGTGTTAACCGTTCCAGTGCCAAACTGGCCAGCGAAGTAGTGGTAAACTGTAAAGTGCCCAAGCAAAGTGACGGCACCCAAAAAACGAACTCCCGACCCGCCCTACCCCTGGGGAATTACTGTGGACCATAGGAATCCCCCGTGTGTGGACACAACGCCATCCGCAACCAATAGCGTCCCGCACCATGCGGTTAAAACTCCACTGCAATAATGGTGCCCCGTAAAACGTTAGCGACACGAACCGCGCTTACTGAGCGCAGTCGCGCAAACACGGGTCCATCGCGACCCCCCCTCATAGCACCTCTAACGGCGTAGGGGTTCCACGCACGTTGGTGGAAATGCAGATGCCTTAAAATGGCTAAGGCGGCCCCCAAGCAACGGTGATACAACAAGTCAATACTTCGGTCACGAACAAAGGCCCTAGCGTTCACGCTGCTGCGGCGGACGCTCACAGAGATATAAAAAATGGTCCAGAAAGCTCAAATGGCAAAACAATGAATGAACCAATCCAGACAGAACAGAACCTAGGGTGGAGAGGTGTGGTAAACCAACAGACCCGGAAACAAATGACCCCACTGTATGTGGAAGAAGCGGTGGAGGCGGACTTGGGGCAACAGTCCTGATTAGGGAAGGTGGTCCATAAGGACAACCTAAGTAAGTTCACTAGTTAGGCCTAAGAAATATGGTGGTGGTATTATCTTCCTATATCCGATAGTTATTTCATCTTGTACGCTCTGGGCCACCAACTGGTCGCGGCCCCATCACCGCTTTCACCCCCGTACACCTATACAGACGGGTCGGTATTGGTATGGGAGGAATTAACTCATCAGGCACACAGCAAACCTACGATGGCCCTGCCGACGAAACCGTACAGTGACAGACCCCCACTCCTGAGACTGTGGAGGTTGACTCCA